ACCGGTATTATTAGCTCTGATCTCATTGTAAATGACAGAGCAGAGCTGTATAGGTGATTGTCTGTTGTCGTCTATCCAACGTCTGTCAACAATTCTTCAATTCTCTATTGTTGTCATTTTTGGTAAAAGATGCTATTTTCGACTTCTTCTTGAAAACTACTAGCTCAATTACTTTGATATTTGGTATGTAGGTACCTTGGACGGACCTCTGTCAGATTTGTTTATTTCATGACAATAACTTCAATTCCCTTTTTTTTTTTGGCGAATATTTTGTCATTTTTGGTAACAAATGCTATATTTGACTTCTTTTCAGGAAGTACCAGCTCGATTGCTTTGATATGTTATATATAAGTACCTTAGGTGGACCTATATCAGATTTGTTCATTTCTTGGCAATTTCATCAAACCAAATCTTTTTGTAATTTTTGTTTAAAAATAATATATTTTTGAATTCTTCTTGCACACTACCAATCCAATTGCATTGATATTCGAGATGTACATTATTTCTGTGAAAAATTTGTTCTCGACTTGGGTACCACAATGTTCTTGTTGAACATATAATTATATATATATATATACACACATGTATTTCAAAAACCAATTATTGCATTTCAATAAAACTTGGTATATGAGTGTCCAAGGACCATGCTTGTTTGGGATTGAAATTCAAGCATACTAATTGCCTAATTTGCATAATTTTCGCATTTCATTGAACTTTGTCACTTTGGGGTAATCCACAGACATGATTAGTTTAATGTTGAAAATCTTGCATACCGGTATTGATTATCTAATTATTATTAGCCAATTTCTGATATCTCAGAAAATCAGATTTAAATTGTACTTGTGGTAGAGGTGGCATAAATTAGACTGAAAACCACAATTTTATTTTCTGTGTGTATTGTTTTCATCTCAAATAGCAGAAAATTATTAGTTGCCAAGCTTCTTGTTTGGCTAATTTTCAAATTTGAATTAGTTTTTAATACGTCTCCATTACCCTCAGCACATTGGAGTTCTTTCTAAGCTTTGATTGATTTTCAATTTTCAACTTTGGGTACTATCAAAGTTATCCCTACTAGTCATAAGAGTTGAGACACTTAAGTAGAATGTAAACAAAGCCAAGATTATTTTTCTCCTCTATGATTTATATATCAGTATGCATGCACTCGTTATTGCAAGACTGTACTCTGCTGAAACAATGAATCAAACTATTAAAACCCTAGGGTCGCTTGTTTTTTGAGTAGAGCTATTTCAACCATCAGGCTGCTTATGCAAATGAACAATGCCTTTGACCTTCATGCATACATATATTAATTGCTATGCATAGTATGGGTACTAAAAACACTTTCCCATGGTGGTGATCATTGTTAACTGTAAATTGGTTTTATTTTCTAGAGGCCTTCTTAAGTGGTCTTATATTGAATTGTGTATCAAGATATCAACGACCAGATTTAGATCAGATACCAGAAAGTAATCCAGAAGCAGTAAAATCTCAACTTATTCCATTGATGAAGGAATGCTGGAATCAAGAACCTGAGAGTAGACCATCATTTAAAAGTATTTTTTTTTTTTTCTTCTTTCAAGAAATATTGATGTATTAGTAGTACCATATTTGTCTGAAAGGGCGTCCTGAGTAATGTTTTTAATGGATAATTGGTCATATTTTGAAAAATCACCAAAACAAAACATTCATGCTACTCATTTGGATATTTATCACCTTGAAAATGCATTGACAACTATAGAGGGCTTGGCAGAATAGAAATTTCATTTCAACGCAAAAGATTCTACAAACTTGTTTTTTAAGGAATTATCATATAAAACATTAAAATTGCCACGACTGAGCCTGTCTATTATGAATTAAATATATTCCTCCATATTATAGTAATGATTTATTAATTGGTTTTAGGTATTAAACAGAAGCTGGAAGCTCAATTAAAAATTTACAATACTGATGCTAAGAGAGAAGCTATTGAAATACAGAGTAAACTGGTAAAAATAATTATAGTCTAACTTTTGCCTCAGCTAAGATTATATCATTTGACCTCATACATCATAATATTAGTTCCATGTGACACAAGCATATGTTAATTTTAACATTCTCCTAATGTGATACATGTATATATTGAGGTGTGTAAGTGGTGTAAAAAAACATGGAGGGCAGATACAAAGAGTTCATAGACGGTATGTGTTTTGGCCGGTTATTGTTGCAAGGCAGTCAGCTCTCGATTTTTATTCTGTCAGTGGTTTGCAGTCTGTGTTTTTGACCGACTATTTTCCAGGTCATGGAGGTTGGTCATGGCAATCGTCCATACTCCATGGTTATTACTAACATACTCTTTTGTTTCTCGTCTACCCTCTCTGTCTTTTTCTTAAAGTGCACTCCACACTTTGCATTCGCCTTTCATGTTTTTCACATCTCTCTTACACACCTCAGATATCTCAATGAATTTATTGGTTTATGCTCAGTTTGATTGTTTGATGTCTGACAATCTAACATCAAAATACATGACTCAGTTAATGATTCACAATAATATATTTTTGAGAATAAAAGTACATGTACATAAAGTATAATGTAAAAGTTTTTGTTGCTTACTACCTTAAGTAACGAATTCTCACTTCCGGTCTGGTTAAACTTAACATACACCGTGAATATTCACTTTTGAGATATTTTAGATATTAAAAAATAATATTCACTCATTCAGCTCACTATCTATCGATTTGTTAAAAATAATATGTGACTACTCATCCAACTACTGGGGTATAACCCAGAATATTAAAAATCATCTGCATCATCACATTGTAAGATGAACACATGGGCAAACAAAGATATATTAGATACATATATATATTACTGATAAAAAAAAATGTTCTTTTACATTTGGGGAGCTCCTTCAACTTTTAGCACATGTATTTGTTTCATGATTCAATTCTAGATGACAAAAATTACAGCAATTTCAGTGCTAAAAATTCATCAAAATCAAGCATTTCTGCTGTCCGAACCAATTCTCAATTATGCAGGGACATATTTTTCATTCAAACTTGTCCTTTGAACATAATAAATCCTTGATGCATATCATTACTTTAGCAGATCGTATTGAAAATGGCCGATTGGTGGTTATTTCTTTGCTCTGCCTTGACCGATCCATCACAGTCACTCTACTAGTAGAGTGACTGTGGATCCATTCAAGACAAAAACACGAACATGTATAAATATACTGGCTTGTGAATGTCTTGTATCGGCCATCATACAACCAGCAAGAACAACAACAGCACTGTGCTGATGTAATCTACCTTCATTTAACACATTTGAAAAATCATTACCGTTACTTTCTCCTGCAATTGCAGGGTATTGTACCTTTCATAATCAACTTTGGAATGTCTGGTCACAAAAGATCACTTTAAAAAAAATTATTAAATTATTTTAGCTGGAATTTATTTTCGCTGAAAAGACTTTTTGGGTGATTTGTATGGAATTTGTTTTCCCTGATTTTTGATAAGCTGAAAGTCAAACATAGAAAAAAAGGTATATTCACTGGTTTTTATTTTCTCTAAATCATTTCTTCAGCAAAAATAGCAAAAAATAATTCCAAGCGAAAATATTTTAAAAGTGTTTCACAGTATGTCATTTTCATTGACTCATTAGTACGTCATCCATTCTTTTCTGTATTTACATACTGTGATCTTTACTACTGAAGGATCTGTGTTAAAGTGCTGTAGTCGTCGCGCTGTGCATATGTGAGATATATGGGTCTCATATAAACAAAGATGGTGACTTTCCAAGCTTTAATTAAGTAATTTTCATGTTATTGGAAGGTATCAGCAAATCGTGCCCAGGTCAAACCTTATACTTGTGATTTCCATTTGTCAAGCGCATTGGATTGTGTGAAAATCAATGTTTATCGACACAATGACTACCGCACTTTAAATTTAAATGTATATTTTTTGTGTATTTCCGTGTCCTTGGATATTTATTTTGTTTTTATTGACTCCCATGTGCGAAGCACAAAATGGGAGTCTTTGCAGTTAGTGTGTCTGTATGTGTGTATGTGTGTATGTGTGTATGTGTGTATGTGTGTATGTGTGTATGTGTGTCCGACTGTTCCACTGCTATCTCAAGAACCATACATTGGTTTTTGATGAAACTTGGTGCATAGATGCTCTGGGCCAATGCGCAGATTTGATTAGGTTTTGGTAAAAATCCATGCTCGTTAATTACCTAATTTGCATGATAATTAGCTAATTTTTAGCTGTTCTATGACTGTTCCACTGATATCTAAAGAACCACTCATTGGATTTTGATGAAACTTGGTACATAGATGCTCTGAACATATGCGCAGATTTGATTAATTTTTGGTAAAAATCCGTGCATATTAATTACCTAATTTGCATGATAATTAGCTATTTTTTAGTGGTTCCATGACTGTTCCACTGATATCTAAACAACCACTCATTGGATTTTGATGAAACTTGGTACATAGATGCTCTGAACTAATGCTAGGTTTGATTAGTTTTTGGTAAT